GACACTAACTGGACCTCATGAAATAATTTTATCAATCCCTAAAGCAAATAACATTTTTGTGTTGTGTCAACTTGACATATGTGATGCAAAAATGCCGTATACCCAGTCTCCAGTAAGGAAATATCACTGTAATTAAAAAGGTCAAAATGACTCAAATCATTGTCTTTTCATTTCCAGAAAACTTGACTTTTAAAAGATGATGCTTTACTTATTTTTAGTTTAGCACCATCTTGGAAACACCTACCTGTTAATTAGAGCTGTGATTCCCTTCCATTCCCGCAGCAGTGCTAAGCCCATGCAGAAGTCTACAGTACTATAATTAGGAATTTTCTTCTAAGAAAAACATTATAATAGACATCCTGCCATGCTTATTTTATTTTAATTGGATGTTTAGCTCTAGGGATCTTCATAATTTTTCATAAAACTTTAATGTTAATAAAATCAGCTGGAAGGAAGCACTACTTATCTCCTTGATTACACCATAAGGAGTAGGATCTTAATTTGAGCCTTTCTGTCCTTTTCTTTTTTTTTTAAGCTAATGAGAGCAAAGAGTTTTAAGTGAATCAACACAATGCATCACCAAGTACTGCTTATGACCCACATGTGAAAGAAAAATTACACATGACAGAGTTAAGCAGAGCAGGAAGACTTTATTCAAAACTTGCCATAGAGGAGAAAGACTGAATTCAACTACCTCTGAAACACAAGGCAGGAGAGTTTGTAAGTGCTGGGATGAGATCATGAAAAAGTTCTAGAGGACTTTAGCATGGACGTTGGTCAGTGATATCAGACCATCTGTGTTTGCTAATTGGTGCTTATGGAAGTAAGCCTCCTACCCTCCCCTTAAGAGAGGGACATAGGATTTGTCTTTCTGGATGATTACATTTCAAAGGGCTACTTGATTTCAAAGGGATACCAGTTACTTGATAAAAGAGTCCTGGGTTATAAAACTGGCAAGAGGCTAAAAGATTTATGATTCAAAGGAGCAGAGGCAGCATTTACAATCACAAGTTTTCTAAAGTGAATGTTCCAAGAGAAGAGAGGTAAGGGACCTTAAATCAGGTAGAAACATGTCCAGAGTTTAGTACAGCTGAAGGGAATATCAAGGCCATTTTGGTCAGCCACTGGTGATCTACTAGATTTTAGCTGATGATCTGGAAACTGATCTAAAAGTACAAGTCTTTTCTTATAGGCAAAGTATATGCAATTTAAAAATCTTTACACTTCATGTATACTAAAGGCTACTCACGAGTAACCTATCAAATTAGATGTTAGCATATAGCAGGAAAATCTTTGTGTCTGCTTTAAAGTGCCAGAAATTTCACTGTCTAGAGTTTATAAAATAATAATAATAAAGGTATCCATTGATGCCAGACACTCTTTTAAGCATGTTTTATATAATGTACACAACAGTCCAGGAGCTCTTCTTTTCCCAGAAGTTGTAATTTGTCTGGGGTCAGATGGGGAATGGAGGAGCAGATCTCAAAGCCAGGGCCATGACTCCAGAGCCAGGATCTTGGCTCAAAATAGACATGCATGAGCACAGGCTGAAAGAATGAAAGAGGAATGAGCAGGAGAGGTTCATTTTTCTTTCCTTTAAGTAACTGAAATGTACCCCCAATCCAGTTCTATCTCCACCCACTTTAACCTTAGTTTTGTCCTATTTCTTGAAAGGAAGACTGCTGTGTCTCCATGCAGGTGTCAAAGACCTTCTTCCAGCTTTGCTTTCATTCCCATTTTCCGTGGTCTCTCAGCAGCACTTCATTTTCTTGTGCAGGAATTATTAATGTGACAGAGGCCAGCCTGACTTAGACTCAGTTTGGACTCTTACGATCATTTCACATTCCAGTGGCACAAAGCAGGAAAGATGATGGGGGTCCTCGACCTTTCACCCTGCTTGGGTGACTACATCAATTATGAAAATAATAAAAAGATGTATAACCACCATCAGTTATGGTCTAAGAGTATTGGAGTGCAAGTGACTACTTAAGTGAGATATAAAAGCTTTAAGATATGTGCCAAATCTTGTACAACACAGATAGGTGAAGACTTCTGTTACATTGCATTTTTAAGCGTAAAGAAACATTCAAAAGCCTGAGAAATAATTCAGAATGCTGAAAATTTTCCATTAGAGAAGCAGAGTTCTTAGAGTAAATGTTTTGATTCCTATTTTGGTTACCAACTAGTCTAGGAGTGAATATGTGAATTTATTAAAAATTAATTATAAATATTTTATTAAGTATTCTACCCAGGAGACCCCTGGGAGCAGGTTTTCTAGAAAGGCATATAGTCAAGTAAAATAACAAGTACCAAAGGCATAATTAATACACTTGTCAAAATTAGACAGCTGTTATGAGTTTATATATTTAGTGTTTGTCTTCCCCAGTAGGCAGTCAACTCCATGAGGGCAGGGACTAGGCTTCTTTGTTGCTCTACCATAGCAACTGATATGTTGTAGAAACATAATGAATATTTTTAAATGAATGAATGTGTCATTCATTCTGCAATCATGAGAGGTAGCCAAAATGACGGAAAGGATTACATCAGGAATGGTTTGGTCAGGGAAAGTTACTGAAATTGTCATACTTTCATAGATCTGTTATCTGTCTCATAAGTTTTCAAAAGTTTTATTAATTGGATTCCACTAGGTTTCCCATCTACTATGCACATAACATTGCACTATGTTCTTCTACCCAATTTATCCAATAAGACCGTCCGTACTCCATAATGTACTGACAGCCTAAGTCAGCTTTCTACATAATGAATATTAAATTTTCATTCTTTAATCTTGAGAAATAATATCTTATTTTCATTTCAGAGTATATTTAAACATAGACCTACTGACATTAAACATAGACCTACTAACATAAACCAGTTAACATTAAACTGCATGATGCCTGCCTTTTATTTGTTGGAAGATCATCAACTTTTAGCTTCTTACAAATGGTGCTCCGGATTATCCTGAAGTTACTTCCCTGGTGCTCAGATAGTAATGCCTGCCTTTTATTTGTTGGAAGATCATCAACTTATAGCTTCTTACAAATGGTGCTCCGAATTACCCTGAAGTTACTTCCCTAGTGCTCAGATAGTAAAGCGTCTTCCTACAATGCGGGAGACCCAGATTTGTTCCCTCAGTTGGGAAGATCCTCTGGAGAAGGAAATGGCAATCCACTGCAGTACTCTTGCCTGGAAAATCCCATGGACAGAGAAGCGTGGTAGGCTACAGTCCATGGGGTAGCAAAGAGTCGGACATGACTGAACGACTTCACTTTCACTTTCTTTACTTGAGGAACATTAATGATGACCACTAAAAATGGTCTTGTAGCCTAAGTTTATAATTATAGAAGTACATGTCATTCTCTAAGTAAAAAAATCGTTAAGTCTGCTCCATTCTTGTACCTTCTACCTTAGTGGATAATATGATGTTCATTCAAATTAATAAGCTTATGATCAGTCTTTTGGGCTTCCCTCACGGTTCAGATGATAAAAAATCTGCCTGCAATGCAGCAGACCTGGGTTTGATCCCTGGGTTGGGAAGATCCGCTAGAGAAGGAAATGGCAACCCACTCTAGTATTTCTTGCCTGGAAACTCTCATGGACAGAGGAAATCCCTCCTACCTGGAGGGCTACAGTCCACGGGGTTGCAAAGAGTCAGATATGATTGAGCAACTAACACTTTCACTTTCAGTCTTTCATGAGGGTAAATGATTGGTAGCTTGAATTTGGGGAGAATGGAAATAACAAATCATAAGCAACAACAGCAACAACAGAAGTCTTTAACTGTGGCTTTAGCATCTTTATAGTTAAAGAGGAAACAACTTGGGCTTTCATAACTGGAATAAAATTCATGAGCTAGAAAATAGACTGCTTTTTTTTATTTGGAAAGCAAGGTATAATTTTATGCATGATCAGTTCCAGCATATAGTTAATACGTTTCCTTCAGAGGATAAGATTCATTAACTGTGTTCATGTCTTTCAAAATTGCATGGCAACAACTCCCTTTCCATTTGTTTTTCAGAGGTCTTGAAAGTCTAAGTGATAACCTCCTTCTTTCCCATTGTCTCATATAAGTTATTGTGTGGTAATTAAATCACCAGTGAAGGGCATAGTTAAGTTATACTGGTATGAGATCAAGAAAGAATGTGTGTAGGTTTGCAAAGAGGCAGCTTGAAAATGTTTTGAAAATTCTTCTTTGCTCGTCACTGTAATAAATAGTGAATAGAATAAAAGCTTTAAGGTAATATTGAATGCAAAAAATTTACTTGACTATTTACCAGATTTAAAAATATCTACAGGGGAAGTGAATTGTATAGGTTTCAACAATCATCTGCTATTATCTTAACTATAATATCAGGAAGCATTTGTCTGATTATTGCCTGAATGTGGGCATGTCAGGCTAAATCTAGCAAATTGATATGCAATCAAGTTCAATTATCATTAATTTTATTTAATCATAGTATTACTTTATTTCTAGCAGGGTAATTTTAATTAAGGTATATGGATTTATTTAAACTAACAATTGATTATGTGCCATAATATTATAAACTGAAATCTGATGAACTTGGTGATTTTTTTTTATTTTAAATCCCTTTGAAGTTTGCCTATAATGGCATGTGTCCAGAATATACCCTGCTGGGAAATCTGTATCACTTGATGATTTTCTGTGTTGTCTGAAAGTATTTTTAAACTGTTGCAAATATATACTGCTGAGAAAACTTCATCACAACTAGGAGTATCTGGAAGCTATTTTCTGTGTTGTCTGACAGGTTGTTTTTTCTTAAACTAAGATAGCTAACAAAATTAAATGTAACAGAAAAAAAGTACCAGTTTTAATGGTACAGATTGCCCATATGAGATTGTTTAGGATTTCAACCAAAATTAAACTAGCTAATTAAACAGAGGCAAATCATACAGAGCATTAACACAGAGCTAAAAGTAAAACATCCATTTACCAGATTGTCTTTGACAGGATTCCTTTGGTTGCAAGTGACAGAACCACAGCTAAACTACCTGAATGAGAGATGAAACTACTGTCCTAGGACACTGGGAAGTCTGGGGGTGATCTTAGGTACAGCTCAGTAAGTGTTCAGTGTTCTCAACAGTGCTGTCTTTCTTGTATTGCTTCTCTGCCCTTGTCTGGGTGCAAGGTCTGCTTTTCTTTCTGAGGAATTGTAATATGCAAAATCTGAGCCTGTAGCCAAAGGGAAAGATTTTTTTGCTCATACCCAGAAATGAAATGAATCTGCCTGCAATGTAAAGAATCTGCCTGCATTGCAGGAGACCTGGGTTTGATCCCTGGGTCAGGAAGATCCCCTGGAGAAGGGAATGAATGCCAACACACTCCAGTATTCTTGCCTGGAGAATTCCATGGACAGAGGAGCCTGGCAGGCTACAGTCCTCATGGTGTCACAAGGAGTCGGACAGGACTGACCCGTTAACACCTTTCATTTACTACATACTAATTGGCCATATTGTGATTTGTGATTGACGAGATTTCCTGTTTAGGAAAGGTGAGACTCATGTCGAATAAAAGGAAAAGATATTTTTAGTGTCGTTATCATTTTCAAGGGTGCAGTTTAGTGATGTCAGCTATATTCACATTGTTGTGCAAAAACAGAACTTTTTCATCTTTCACAACTGAAACTCTGTACCCACAGAACAATTCATTTCCCCCTCCCCCAGCCTCTGGAAACTACCATTCTAGTTTCTGTCTCTATGGATTTCACTACTTTATAGATCTCCTAAAAGTAGAATCATAGTATTTGTCTTTTTGTAACTAGCTGATTTAACTTAGTGTAATGTCTTCAACTCTGCGGTTCATCTGTGTTGTGGCATGTGACAGAATTTCAAAAGGAGAAGACATTTTATGATTTTTTTGTTACTTTAAAAGGATAGTCAAGAACACAGATGCCCTCAGGCAACTTTGAATTCATAAAACAAACATAAAGCAACTTTATGGGACTGAAAATTACTGGAAAATGCACTGCTCACTTAATATTTTTTAAGTGTATTCAAAACACTGGGTTTACCAAGTAAAGAAAGGCAAAGTCACAGTTTTGGACCCACAACCTTTGAACTACAAGTTTTAACACCTTCTTCTAAGTAGACTTTGGGTTGATTTTTTCAATGATATGATTTTTAATTTTTACACATATATTTATTAAATCTTTTGTTTTCAGATAATTATTGATTCACATATAGCAACTAAAAAATAATGCAAAGAAATCCCATGGATTTCTTAAAGCAGTTTCTCCCAGTGGCAAAATCTTGCAAAACCATAGTGACATATCCCAGCCAGGATATTGGCATTAACATATTCCACTGATCTTATTTAGATTTCCCAAGTTTTACTTATGTTTACTCAGGCAGTTTCATGCAATTTTATTACTTGTGTACACTGAATTTTTTAACTAGAATTTGTAGATTAGATGTGGCTATTGCCAAGGTCCTATTATTTTTATAAATCTTTAGTGGCAAAATATGTAATGCTTTCAATGTTATGTGACAAGTATGAAGAAGGGTATATCTTATCATATTTAAACTAGTTCTTTGCTGTCAAATTCTAAAACTTATTCAAACTGTATACCTTTAACATTTTTTCATTCTATTTATAATTATAGAATGATTTATATATATTTATTTTTCCCAAACTTATTTCTTCTCCTTAATATTTAGAATTAGGTACTGTTTTCATTGTGTCATTATTACCAGAAAGGCAGGACATAGTTTAATAACTTTACTGTTAATATGTGTACATAATAATTGAGGAATAGTAATAGTGTTAATTCAAAAATTCACTGTTTTGCTCAGAATCTTTATATCTACTAGTCTTAAAAAATAAAAGAAAGATCACTAGGTATTTGCATCAAGGGCACTTAGACTCTCCCTTTAGTTATATACAACTGCATAACTAAATCATGAGTAAAATGAATTAAAATATTTGCAAGGCAAATTTCCCAGCCCTTAGGTACCTAGTCACCATTATATTTTACACATCTTTAATGATTTATTGTTTCCTTGTTCACCTTCATAAATTATTCCACTTTGAGTCTGTACTTTCTCGAACAAGAATACCTTCTTTTCCCAAAACCTCCTTAGTCTGATATGCAGGAAGAGATTTAAAGTGAATTTTCTAAATTAGAGAATCCTTTTTATGAAAAATGAAGTAGCCTGATGGGGACAAAAGAACTTATAATAAATTGAAATAAGTTCTTTATATAAATAAATTAAAGAAATTTTCTCTTTCATAAAGAAAAAAATAATTAAATTATTTTCTTAATAAAGAACACAAAGCTTTCTGATAATGGCATGACCTTTTATTTCCAGTTCATTTCAACCAAGACCTCTTAAAGACAATTCAGTGTCTTCTAGTTTTTAGATGATGATCTGAAGTTAAGTGATGGCTGTACTGAGCATATTTGAGTTCTTTTCTAAGGAAAACGAGGCTATTTTCCTTTACTCATTTATTCAATACTTACACTAATGATAATAGTAGTAAAAAAAATTATAACTATAGTAATAATAATAGCTTACTCTTATTATAACTCTTATTAATAGCAATTACTCTAAACAAAGTATTTTTCTAAGTCCTGAATTATTTCTCTCTAAACCATCATAGCTTTATTTATATTTCATTTTTTAGCTTTCTTAATTTCTATTTTTTTCCCCTTTACTGAGCCTTCCACAGTGTTTATTCTTTATTTTTCCTATGATTCAATTTTCACATCTGAGTTTATTTTGTATAACATACAAAGATATAATATATATATAACAAAGATATATAATAAAGATAGTTTATCTTTATTTCTTACTTCTGTGAACTGACATTTCATCTCTGCCATCACATCCCTGAGATCTTATATTTCTACTTTGTTGTTTTCCAAGAGAGAGGAAAATGCTCCTTATGATTTTTAGAACTGTCCCTTAATATTTTCGTGTTTCATGAATTCTTTTCTTGGTGGGGTGAGGCTATTTTTCATCTAGTCTTTTTCTCTTGCAGAAACTTTGAAACACAGAAACTTGCAGAAACACTGAAATCAGTCAGGACCCATTGATGTTGGTTTCTTCTGTGATTTTTGTTACTGTGAAACGATTTTTACTTTCAGTGTAAGGTTGTGGAGGTACCATGAAACCAACTGTAAATTCTATAAGGGAAAGGAAATCCTGAATTATTTCAAACAAGCTAATATAATTTTAAATGTGTATTTTATACTTTTTCTTAAAACAATTTTGTTGTACTCAAAATTTTGTGTGCTAAGAAGCAAAAGTGACTGCTTATTCTAGTTTTGGTCCTAATCTCATTATTCTCAGGAGACCCTTGTTAAATCACTTAACCTACTTGAACCTTGGTTTCCCAGAAACCCCCACAATATGTTAAAGTGTTGAGGATTTTTGTTAGCAGAAGGTTCCTCAGTGGCATGCTTGATACACTGAAGCACTGAGTGTATATGGCCAAATTATAACTGTTCCCAAGCATTTCCAGAAATGAACAAAGATGAAGCAAGCCTAGAGAGTGCTGCTCTCATTCTCTGAAAACTCCTAGGCAAAAAGTGGAATCTCAGGAGGAGGCTGGCAAATCCTTGTCTTGATTGTCTAGATTGATACCAGACATAGTACTAAGTAGTGTATATATATTTTTTCTTATTGAGCAATATTTTAATATACATTGAGGTGGTTGGCATTTTCTCTATTATATAGATTAGGAGACTGAGATTTAGATAGATTGGCTAGGAAATGGCTTAGAAATGGTGGAGCCAGTACTCAAGTCTAAATCTGGCTAATTTCACAGGCAGGCTCCTTTTTTTTTTTTTTTTTTTTTTGTAGGCAAGATAAGGTAGACTTTATTTTTCAAAAGCGAACTGCTACAGAGGTTCTCCTCAATCATAGCTTTTGCATCTTGTTTTTTTTTTTTTNAACAGTGTTCAGCGAGGCTCTTAAACATTCTCCTGTCTATGCTGCAGAGCTTGATCCTCCCTACATATATACAGAAAATTTGGATATACTCTATGTTTTGTAATGGAAAATATAACATGAATTCAAGATGAACTTATCGTTACCACACTACCTAGAGTATGTAAGAGTGTGCTCTTTTTAAAGATTGCCCCCCTCACTGACTTTGCTTGTAATATTTCTGCAAAGGAATACACTAGTAAAATAAACACTGTATAGGGAACTTGCATTGTAATGATATGAGTGATGCAAGTTACTTAACCATTTTATACTGATAATTTTTGTTCTAAAACAAATGTCACCTTTATCAGGTTGTGCAGTATTAATCACTTCAGTATCACTAAAGGAGCTAGATAAGTCTGCGATTTAACAGTTCACCTCTGAGCAATGTCTCCTGTTTAATTTAGCATGTTCCTGTTTTGTTACTAATGTAAAGCAGGCCTTAAGAAAGAATAGTTTCAGAGAGCCAATACTTTGTAGAGGTGGTAAAATTAGTATTCTATATGCCATTAGAATTTTTTATCTTGTTGCATACCAAAAAACCCCATGGAAAACTACCTAAAGTAATATGTTGAGGCAATTTCAGGTGAAGGATAATAAAACAAAAATAGAGATATAATAGCCCATTCATATGGATTTAATTTGATTTAACATCAAAGTTTCAAATAAAAATTGACATATGTTTTTAGGAAAAAATATTGCATGTAACTAAACTCTCTTGAATCAAGTCCGAAATCCATCTCAAAATATCTGCTATTACATTCTTTAAGGTCAGGTGTTGATTTGAAAATCTACAAGGGTAGTATAAGAACCAGGTGAAATACTGGAGATAAAGAATCTGCCATGGTATTGGTCTTACATTTTTTAGGTCACCTTCACTAGGAAAATTCTGATATTCATATTCTCTCTCTCTCTTCTCACATATCCACACACATTTATGTACATACCTATCAAAAAACCTACCTGGTTTTACATGCATGTATATGCATATTTTTAAAAGAAAGTTATTTATTAACTGGGGGATAGAAAATACATCTTAAGTAATAGTTGAGTGAATGTTCACAAATTAAATGCATATGTGTCACCATGACTTCGATCAGCAAATACAATACTGTTAGCACTGCAGAGCTTCCTGCCCTCTTTCTGGATTTTTGATCAGTATTATAGCTAACTGCATTGGTTAGCTGTACCTGTTTCTTAATTTCTTATGAACAGAATCATATAAAATGTATTAATTTGTACATGGCTTCTTTTACTTGTTTGTGACTTTGTCTGTGTTGTTGAGTAGTTGTATTTCATTTATTTTAATTGATGTATTGTTTTCTATTAGATTTATTTATCAATTCTTGATGTACATTCAGGTTGCTTTCAGTTTGGGTGTATTATGAATAATACTGCTTTGAAAAAATGTATATATATATTTAGGTAAATGTATGCATGTATTTGTATTGGGCATATTTCTAGAGTAGAATTACTGAGTAACAGGGAATGCATATGATCATTCTAGTCAATACAGTTTTCCACAGTGGTTGAACCAAGTTACATTCTCACCAACCGTATATGAGAGTTCCAAGTCTGCTATTAATACTTTGACAGTGCATTATGTATCCTTAGCCATTTTTGTAGGTTAAATATCACATTGTGACTTTAAATTGCATTACACTGTTGATGAATGAGGTAGAGAAATATTTTGTATGTTCGTCAGGCATTTACATATTCTCTTTTGTGAAGTGCCCATTCAAGATTTTTTCCCATTTTTCACATTTTATATCATTTTTGTTATGAAATATGGTATAAGTAATTCTTATTAAATATTTTAGTTTAAATGTTTTATTGTTTAGTTTCTTTCTAAATTTATTTTAACATCTTGTTTCCTTCTACTTTTCAGATGCAGCAACTGTTCCATGAAAATTATGAACACAATCGCAAGGGTTATATCCAAGACCTTCACAACAGCAAAATCCATGCAGCCATAACACTTCATCCAAACAAAAGGCCCGCCTACCAATACAGGCTTCATAATTACATGCTCAGCCGCAAAATTTCTGAACTGCGCTACCGCACCATCCAGCTCCACCGGGAGAGTGCGCTGATGAGCAAGCTTAGTAATAGCGAAGTGAGCAAAGAGGACCAGCAGCTGGGATTAATGCCTTCTTTCAACCACTTCCAGCCTCGGGAGAGAGATGAAGTGATAGAATGGGAGTTCCTGACAGGGAAACTCCTTTACTCAGCATCTGAGAACCAGCCTCCTCGCCAGAGCATCAACAGCATCCTGAGAACAGCACTGGATGATACCGTCCTACAGGTGATGGAGATGATCAATGAGAATGCCAAGACTAGAGGACGGCTCATTGACTTCAAAGAAATTCAGTATGGCTACCGCAGGGTTGACCCCATGCATGGGGTGGAGTACATTTTGGATTTACTGCTCTTGTACAAAAGACACAAGGGGAGGAAACTGACTGTGCCGGTAAGACGCCATGCCTATCTTCAGCAGTTGTTCAGCAAGCCTTTCTTCAGAGAAACTGAAGAGCTAGATGTCAACAGTCTTGTAGAGACTATTAACAGTGACACTCAATCATTCTCCTTTATATCTAATTCTTTAAAGATACTCTCTTCTTTTCAAGGTGCCAAAGAAGTGGGAGGGCACAGTGAAAAGAAAATACACATTCTTGTTCCTCTCATTGGAAGGTATGACACTTTCTTGAGATTCATGGAGAACTTTGAAAACATTTGTCTTATCCCAAAGCAGAATGTAAAACTGGTCATCATCCTCTTCAGTAAGGATTCTGGCCAAGATTCCAACAAGCATATTGAGCTTATACAAGAATATCAGAACAAGTACCCCAAAGCAGAAATCACCCTGATCCCCGTGAATGGGGAGTTTTCCAGAGGTCTTGGTCTTGAAATGGGATCTTCTCAGTTTGACAATGATACTTTGCTGCTATTTTGTGATGTTGACTTGATCTTCAGAGGAGACTTTCTCCAACGATGTAGAGACAATACAATTCAGGGACAACAGGTATACTACCCCATCATCTTTAGCCAGTATGACCCAAAGGTAACCAATGGGGGGAACCCTCCAACTGATGACGACTTCGTCTTCTCAAAGAAGACTGGATTTTGGAGAGATTATGGATATGGAATTACCTGTATTTATAAAAGTGATCTTCTGGGCGCAGGTGGATTTGATACCTCAATACAAGGCTGGGGACTGGAAGATGTAGATCTCTACAATAAAGTCATTCTATCTGGCTTAAGGCCCTTCAGAAGTCAAGAAGTAGGAGTGGTGCATATTTTCCATCCAGTTCATTGTGACCCTAACTTGGACCCTAAGCAGTATAAGATGTGCTTAGGATCCAAGGCAAGTACTTTTGCCTCAACCGTGCAACTGGCTGAACTATGGTTGGAAAAACATTTGGGTGTCAGGTACAATCGAACTCTCTCCTGACAATCCAGGCAACACATATTGCCTTTTTTAAAGGGGAGTTTACCTCATTGTTGGTTGTTGTTGTTTAATTTTATTATTGTTATTTTTATTATTATAATTATTATTGTTATAATTTTATTTTGTTGTCCAGGTCTTAAACTACTCTTGGTTGTCTTCCAAAGAGTGTTTGTTGACCTCAAACAAGAAGAGTCTGCAGTTCACTGATATTTCAGATTTCTACTGAAGTCAATAGGCATATTACTTTTATGTATCTTTATTTGCGATTGAGTTAAATCGTGGCAATCAAATGACTTTTGAAGCTCATTCAACATGAGAGACAGCTTAGAAGAATGTTCTCTTGGGGCTTTAAGATGCAATATCGACTTTTCTTTCGTTTGTCAAATTCAATGTGATACAAATATTTACTGGTGAAAGGTACCACAAAAGTGCTTTATGCTTCCTATGGGGAAGGGACTCTGTAACATAAACTTGAGTTTTGTAATTTATACAAGGACTTAAATATATAGACAATAATTTTCTTCATCTTTAGGATTTTTAAAGTAAATGAACACTTATGATTGTAAGTTTATTTTTTAAAAAAAGTTTTAAAAATTTGAGGAGTTTTGTTCCACAAGCAACCGGTACTGGCTACCCTGGTCTTATGACAATTATCTAACTCCTCACAACTGTCTGCTATAAATGCGAATGAACTTTATTTTCTCAAGGAAATATGATTTAATTAAATATTCATGTACATTTTAGAAGCTTTATGAAACAATGTCCTTCATTTGCTGGCAAGAAGATAAAATATGACAGAACCTGGTTATTTATAATAAAACAGGTATGACAGTATTCTTTTTCAAAAACACTGAAAAATTTGTGTTGTTTCCTTTTGGTCAAATTTGATGTATTTCTTAATGGTCATAGTCACCAAAGCATGCTTGCTACAAAGGCTGGAAATATTAATAAGGGATTATGGGCATGATATTTATATCAATATGCTTTAAGTTCTAGCTTTCATAAATGATTAAAATGAGCAATTTTTTAGTCAATAATTTACAATCTGGAGGAAGTATTCCTCTTCGATCTCATTAACTTTGTGATCAAACTGAACCAAGAACAGGTCAAAAACAGATTTTAATACAGGTTGGCAGATGGCACAAAGATATGAAAATAACTGCAGAAATTATAAATATAAAATTAATTTTACAATTATATTGCTATTTATAAAACACATAGGAAAATGTTTCATTTCTATACCATTCTTTCTCAAAGCTGAATCAGTAGTGCCCAGTTTGTAGAAAAATATAATCTTATTCAATAAATGTAAGAAAAAATGAAACTCTGTATAAGAAGCTCTTGTGAAAGCATATTTTTTAAAATTTCATCTTGTAAATAAGTAATATATTTGCATAGTTCCAAAATCAAACGAAAATTTCAAATGTCTACCAGTCAGTCTCACTCTCTATTCACCCAAATGTGTCCTTAACTGCACATAACCACCATTTCAGGTGTATGTATGTTTGTGTGCATGTTTTTCTACAGTTTCATAAGCAGAAAAGACATATATTTATTTTCTTCTGCCTTGATACACAAAATGTAGCATATTATACATGCTGTTTCATACTTTTTCTTTTTTCAAACTAGCACACTAAAATTTGCATCAAAATCTATTTGAAAGCAGCTGTAAGTTACTACCGTTATTTGGAACTGATTGTGCTGAGGTCATATAGCATTCGCCTTCGTAATGACTTTCTTCTGTGGTAACCGTCTCTTTCATCAAAGACCTTTTGGGGTTTCAAAAAAATAACATTGCTTAATATTGTGACAAATAGGCACTTTCCTTGACTAAAACATATAATCTTAATAATGTAAGATTCACTAGAGAGGAATTAGTGGCACTTTTAGATGTTAAAACTCTTGACAAGGCCGACATTTCAGAGTTGATCTCTGCTCTCTTGTTATCTCTGTCCTTCACAAACCTCTTCTAATCGCTCTTTTCCTGCATTGTGTTCTTAGCTCTTTTGCAGATGTTATTTTCCTTGTAATAAGTATACTTATATTCAGTAAAGATAGTCACTTGGGAAGATTTATTACTAAATAATAATTATTAATGATGTTATTAATGGAGAAAAGAAATCAGGATGTCCTCTTTAATTAGGGCAACTGAAATAGCAGAGTTTTACTGAGGAATAAATGCAAAGGCTCATTTAAAACCCCTCCTAGTGTTAGAAAGTCGTGAGGCACCTGCCCAGGGATGAGGTGGCATTCTCCACTTTCATCATTTCTCTGATGAAATTCTTCTGATGAAACAAGGGAATGTGGGGATCTCCTTTGGACTTAATTACACATATGCATGCTGTACTGAAACTAACATAAATGTACTTAAATTCTATTTTATAATTTTGCATTAAGCTTTCCTATGATTTTTTTCAGGTACTGCAATATTTGTTGACTGAAAATTTATTGAAATGATACTAGCAAAACTAAGAGTGTTTTTCTGTCCATGGAGTATCTATTAGTTAAAACCCCATGGCTGAAGGGTAACACAATGTGAGTGCAGCCTGAAGCACAATATGTGTGTGTTATTGGCATTACTTTATTTGGACAGCTATGGATGTTCTATTTAAATATCAGCTCAACAGCCATTTCATTAACCTTCAGCATTATCTTATTGATCACCTTCTGTTCACTCAATATAACACTGTACATTTTACTTATATTATCCTTTTATAGGTAATCCTCTCGATAGCTCTCAGAATATTGATTCTCTTTCTTCATTCAACAGATATGGAAACTGAGGCCATGAGTCATGAAGTAACTTATCCTGAATTCACACAGTTGGCTTGTTTTAGAATTAAGAAATTTATGCTCATTACTGTCTGAATCGAAAGCACCCGTCTTTCTACTGTAACCCATGGCTTCTCAGCTGTTGGGGAGAATGTAAGGGATGACAGGGGAGCAAAGATCCAGCCGACTCCATAGCCACATTTGATCTGTTATTCAGCTTGATTTGCTCTTTGCTTGTTCTCGACAGAGAGAAAATTGCTGATCTTTTGCTCAGTTAGAGCCTCTTTAGGCTTTGATCCCAGTCTTTGCCCACTTTGCCAGCTCTCTCTGAATAGCACTGTGTTGGAGCAGAATTTCTTCTATCTACTTGCTTGCAAGTCATTGGACCTCAGCTAGCAGGAAAAATTTTTCAGAATTCCCAATGCCAGCAGCAGCCCTTCTACGTGGATTCAGCCAGCTAAGAGCAGAAGCTGTCCACAATGAGTGCCACTGCATAATTGCTTGACTGTTTATGTCACTTTACCCTTACAGACTTAGCGTGATGCAGCTGATATATTTCTGAATCTAAGAGTTGAGCCCTTTGTGCCTAGTTAATAGACGGGAACTACTAGAATGAAATATCCAAGTGTGTGAACTGATAGTCCAAACCAAGAGACTAAATGCTCAATGGAAAGGTAAGTTAACAATGTCCCCTTGTTTTTCATATGAGAAAGCTGAAGCCCATCTCTAGTTAGCAGCCCCATAGCTGGGCCACTCTGACTATTCATGGTTGCATTTTCAGATTATCTCTGGGCAATTCCTTCTTCCGGGAGGAGGACTCAGAAGATGAGGCCCTTTTTCTTTTTTCCTGGTTTTTACTTTATTTTTGAATTGGAGTGTAATTAGTGTATAATGTTGTGTTAGTTTCCACTGAACAACAACATGAATCAGCTATTAGTGCCCATGTATCCCCTTCCTATTGAGCCCCCCTCCCACCCCTCAAGGTCATCACAGAGCGTTGAGCTGGGCTCCCTGTGTTAGATAGCAGCTTACTACTAGCTGCCTGTTTTACACATTGTTGTGTGTGTGTGTGTGTGTGTGTGTGTGTCAGTGCTATTCTCTCAATTTATCCCATCTTCTCCTTCCCCCACTGTATGCACAAGTCTGTTCTCTACGTCTGAGCCTCTATTCCTTCCTGCAAATAGGCTCATCAGCACCATTTTTCTACGTTGCACACATAGTGTTAATATTGCTCAGAGAGCGGCGGTAGTGCTGCCAGGCCTATTGAGCCCTCACCTAGGACTGCCTTGTCCTGGAGCCAGTAGCCTAAGGTAGACCTGGACCTCAAAAGAGACTTAGTATCTTCCTTCACCTCCTGTTTTTACCCCAAAGAAAACATGTTTAATCAGGTAAAAAAACATGTTTAGTCAAGTAAAATACATCAAGATGAGTCTCAAAGAGCCAATAAAGTATTTGTAGCTTCATCTGGGCCACAATGATGAGATGTGCATGGGGGAATGAAGGCATCACCATACTTTCCATTATGTGGACGTCTACCTTTCCTTCCCTACCTCCTCATGCTTTCTGAGTCTCTGCATCGGTGGTTCTGCACTCCATAGGAACTTAGTGTGAATATCTAAGAGGGGACTGTAGGTAATCTGGGGAATTGGCCACTTAAACTCCCATTTCTTCTTAAATACTGATGGCATATCTCTTCATAAGTAGTCTGTAATTATGAATATTATGGGGCAAAGTAGTATCCTGAAGGATAATAAATGCATCTGTTCTCAGTTCTTAGTGCTGCTGATTTGCCTACCTTTCCCATCTGTACTTTTATCAGCATCCTAATCACTGTCAGGCATGTAGTACAGATAGTTTCTGCTGAGGCCAGAAGCCTCCTAGGCCTTCTGTTTAGAGCAGCGACAACAGCAGAGGCAGGATGGAGTCCCAGAATATACCGGTGGGCTCTGCCTCTGTGCCCCACAGCCTCACTCAGACACCAGTCATGCTGCCAGGGTTGACTCAACAGATGGTGGGATAATGAGGGATGATGAGTCCTCGGCAGTAATTCATGCCCCCAAGTGATGACACAGCCACATCTGCAGCAGACAGCAAACCACCTGATGCTGGCACAGTGAAGCCAGGATATTCTAGTATTGCCAGCAGTTTGACATCTAGTTGTCTGTCTCCCTTTTCCTTGCCTTGTCAGAAGCTGCCAACCTCTGTGCCATATTTGGAATTCTCCCCCAAGCCGGATTTTATATCAGTCAAATTCAACCACTGTTTATTAGTCCGTAGGTTGGTATCAAAGCTGAGAGTGCTGAGTTTCGATTATCCATCATGCACTGGTAAGCATTCTTGCCACTCTATCAGCACCCAACCTCAGTCTTTATTTATAGAATCAGTTCTAAAGGAATTGGTATGTCTAAGATTAGAAGGATAAATTTTTATTTAAATTGGATCTACTATATATATATAGATATAGACATATATATACTTCAAAGGAAAGGGTTTTTTTTTTACTCCTAGAATGTTTGCTCTTATCTGTATGCTAATTGATTAGCAAACATTCACTTATTTATTTGCTAGGGAATAATGTTCTCCAGTAAAAAATTTAAGACTGTGAAAATATACATTACATGAAGGCAAACCTCTCACTAGTATTAGGGTTGCTTCTGTGGGGCTGGTCTCCATCTCATTCTCAATTCTTCCTCAAATTCTATTTCCTAAATTCCCACAAGCATAACATTTTCTCATTCTCTCTTAATGGATAGAACTAGGTGTATACCTAGGTGAATTTCAAATACAAACATACGATTCTGCCTTGATCCTTGTGACTGGATCTTGGCAACAAGTGTTCAACTTGACAAGAGTCAAAACTCACTCAGTCCAAAAGTTCATGTGAAAGTGAAAACAAATACAACAACTTAATGATTAATTACTTGATCACTTCAATTGCTCTGTTGTGTCTGACTCTTTGCGACCCCATGGACTGCAGCATACCAGGCTTCCCTGTCTATCACCAACTCCTGGAGTTTACTCAAACCCATGTCCATTGAGTCAGTAATGCCATCCAACCATCTCATCCTCTGTTGTCCCCTTTTCCTCCTGCCTTCAATCTTTCCCAGCATCAGGGTCTTTTCCAGTGAGTCAGTACCACCCATCAAGTTGCCAACGTATTTGAGCTTCAGCATCAGTCCTTCCAATGAATATTCAGGACTGATTTCCTTTAGGATTGACTGGTTGAATCTCCTTGCAGTCCCTTGGACTCATGATCTTCTCCAACACCACAGTTCAAAAGCATCAGTTCTTTGGCACTCAGCCTTCTTTATAGTCCAACTCTCACATCCATACATGACTACTGGAAAAACCATAGCTTTGTCTAGACAGACCTTTGTCAGCAAAGTAATGTCTCTGCTACTTAATACGCTGTCTAGGTTGGTCATTGCTTTTCTTCCAAGGAGGAAGTGTTTTAATTTCATGGTGGCAGTCACCATCTGAAGTGATTTTGGAGCCCTAAAATATAAAGTCTCTCCCTGTTTCCATTGTTTCCCCATCTATTTGTCTTGTAGTGATGG